AAAAGCAAACAAAACACAACACTGCACACACAATTCTCCCCCAGGAGGGAGGATGAGAGAATGAATAAGTAAATGACAGCTGTTGCTCAATGTTACTTAATGCACTACTGGAAGGTTCATACATACTTCAGTGATGAGCATGAATTATGAACCGTATAGGAGAGACAGGAGAAAGACTATTTAATTATTTCCTTCCTTCCATAGCTCCTGGTGTGGAAGTCAAGAGAGAGAAGTAGTAGAATATGTAACAAGAGAAATGAAGAACAATGATAACAATAGCTAAGCTAGACAGTAATTAGGGGACCTAGATGAAATATCATTACAGGAATGTTTAGACATGTATTCAGTGCAGTACTTAAACATATGACTGAAGTTAAACATAGGCTTAAATGCACTGCTGTACTTTACCCTCGGTGAAAATTCAGACCTGATTCAAAAATAGTCTGCATAAAGTGGAGGATACAATCCATGTTTGCATTGATGTGCTTTAACTTCTGAGAGTGACTCGGGGCTAATGGAGGGTGATGGCAGTTTTCAACCAAGTACCTGTAATGGCTGCTTTTTTTATTGGTGAAGGAATGCTTTGTGTGCCTTTTTAATTTCATTGAAGTATGCTGGAATTCAGGAATTACAACTTCCAGTACTTCCACATTTGGTATAACTATTTTAGAAACATCACTCCAAAAACTGTGGAATATTAAATAACACAAGCATCAAGAATATTATGGCAAATCTTCACCTTTCCCTTCCATACCTGATTTTCACTAACAGCAGCCCAAAAAAAACTTGCCTGAAAAACATCCATGCCCTGCATAACTCCCCTGAACCTTACATTAGCCTCATGGGCAGCATACTCACTTGTATAAATGAAGGCACATTTCTCCTGAGATGTCCTTTGCCTGCCTAATGCTTATACATAAGCTCATACCATTCAAACTCTGCTGTCTCTAAAGGGAGCTATTCTGTTCAGAACTATTTTTCATCAGCCTCCATTATGCATAAGTAAACAGTTGTAGTGAAAAATGTTTAAAATGTTAAACTATTTTTATTTTCACATTCAATGCACCTACCATACCAGGGCAAGATGAATATTCATGCCAAATTATAAAGCTATATATTGTCTCCACAAAAGATAGAAACATTTTTAGAATTAAAAAATAATAATTTCTTTTAGAAACCTTGTACCTCAAAAGTTATTCATTAAAGAAAATGCACATCTGGCTAGAAAAGTAGCATTCAATATCCTTGTGTATTGTAGACATAATATAAAGGTATTTAGCTACATTATCATCTTTATTTTAAGGACTCTGTTCCTTCTTTGCCAGCAAATCACAATGTAACTGAACACTGGAGCAAATAACGGCACCCCTGTAAAATGAAGTATACACAGTTACAAACACAATTTGGAAAGCTATGTTACAAAATATACAGTACTTCCTTTTTACATTTCTATAGATAAACATTACATAATGTTTTCAAATAAGTAATACACCACTCGATCACAAGACACATACTACATAACTTATGAAAAATTCTGTACACTAGAATAATCATAAATACACTGTAAATATCTTCAGTTAGAATCTGGGGCAGGGGCGGTTATATCAGGGTCATGTTGTACTATCTGTTTTTAAGAAGCATTCACTGAAATCTGACTTCTGCCAAAAGCAACAGCACAGTATGGTCCAAAGTAGATAAAGGGATGGATAATAAAAATGAGCTGCATTAATATGATAGGAAAAAAATTACAACAAAGGGGCCTAAAACATTGCTATACTTATACATAATTCCCCTGGTTCCTTTGTAGCAAGTGCTTTTCCTATCGGACCCCAGAATTTTTTGCAGAGGCTGTTAACAGTTTGTTTATTCCTTTATCTCATGCTACAAAATAACAGGCACTTTATTAGAGAACTTATTAGGCAAAAAGCAGAAGACCTTTTCTATGTTCAGATTACTCAACTGCAAATAAGAGAGTCACATGGACTTCTGGGTAGTATTCTAATCCCTAAAAAGTTAGAGCAAAGGAAATGCACACCAGCTTATGAAGGAACACAGCCTTTGAGCATGCATATCCAAAGCAAGAGAGGCAGACTTGAAATTTTGTTCACTTTCAGTTGACTTCAGGGGAGTTATGAAAGACAACAGAATTACACTTCTTGAGCAAGGAACAGAGAAAACTCTATCTGAGGAGCATCAAGGAAAGAGAAGGAAGAACAGGCAAAGGGGTGGCTAATTCTGCTCTTTTCCACTGACATCAACAGGAGCAAGATTTAGTCCAATGCCAAATGCTCTTGAAAACCCCATCTGTGTCAATGTAGGGAAAAATCACACCTATTCTTAAAGATCTGTCAGTGGCCCACAAAAACAGAAAAAGTCTAAAGCTGATTCTGAATAATATTCAGTATACTCTAACAAAAAAAGCATTTTTAGGCAACTTAAAAGCATGTCAGTTTAAAAAATGTAAATAAACAAATCTCTAAAATGAACATATTTACCTGATAACTTAGTTCTGCCTATTACACTAGAGAACTTCAAAGAAAATAAACTTTTTCAGAATTAAATATATTTTAGCAGCACTGAGTAGCTATGTTATGATGAAGGGTCTGTTTGCATTTAAATTTTAAATCCCATTTAAAACACAGTCATATAAACTGGCTGAAGCTTGGCATAGACCCAGGGTGGTAATTCCCCCCCCCCATGACTTGCAGCCCTCACACATTGCACCCTCTCAACTCTTCCGTCTCCCAGAAATTGGTCATTTTATGCTGCTGCAAGCCAGCAGAACTTCACTGATGTCAAATGCTTTAATATTTCCTGAACTGGCTCATTTTATAACACTGAAATGTTGCAGCTAGTCAGAGTTGCAGACTGGCATTTATTAACACAACAACATTGAAAACAAGGGGCTTTCCAGCCTGTGCTGGATTGCTACTTAACCCATGGATTTTTATTAGGGATACAGATTTCCAATAGATGACTTTATAACACTGTCAGCACAAATTGCCATAAGGCACTATAGCAACTCCAAGGACATTGATATCGATCATGCTGCAAATGGTTAGAGTTAACACACATTTTCTCCACATTAAATATTAAAAGAGTCCTAGGAATGTGTGATCTTATAACACACCATGCACTAGCCAGTGTTGAACCCAAAGCATCCTTGTTTTTGCAGCTCTTAATCCAATCCTTACCACTATTTTAAAAGCCTGTTTTGAGGTTTAGTACAAGTCTCCTTCAAATTCTTCAGTAGTTACTCCCTTAATGGACAGCCGATCTTCAACCAACTTATATCTTCCAAAGGCAAATGCACCAGCAATTTAAAATACTTACATTTTGGCCTTTAGCTAGACATCACAAAATATAGCAACTAAGCTCTCTAACACTGAAGGAAATGAACATGTGAAAACATTTTCATTCTTTTGATTTGTTTTTTTCTCTCACAAAACCTTTTTTATATCATAGAATGAGTTTGGTTTAATACCAGTATGATTCAGGGAGAATGTTCAACACATTACATTGTTTTGTTAAGTTCATAAGCCTCTGAACTTATTTCAGCCATCCTCTGTTAAGTTGGAGTGCATCGACATTTCTTGTGTTTGGTACTACTAACCATATAGAACATCCTCCAGACACAGATCTATTCTCAGCTTTTTACCTGATCTGAGACTTACTGGGCACCCTGTAGAATTTGTTCTACTCCATTCCTTGATGAGTAGTGTAGCACTGGAATCAGAAAACTAAGGAAACTTTCATTTAGTCCTCAGTGCATTGTCCAAACTGATTTTCAAGAGACTGATTGTGCTATACTGTGTCTTTGTTAATGCAGGTTGATCTCCTACTATAAAGCTGTGTTGTTAGAGCCCATCGCAGGTTGTGAACCAGCTGCAGGCTGTGGTTTTGGAACACGGTTTTCATCACATGCCATTGCAACGGTGTTTTCATAAACTTCCAGGGCCTTTATCTGCCGGTCTTTGACAGCCGCTTCTTCCCTGTTGCGTTTGCAGGCCTTGCAGTAGCAGCAGCAGCGTTCTCTACAGAAGGTCATCGAAGACGTTATCATATCATCCCATGGCTGCAGGGATCGCATCCACAAGGGAAGGTAGTCCCAGTTCTGGAGTTTTGCAGGCAGTATATGTGGCTTTTTAGACTGTAGAACATTAATTACCACTATTGCAATAAATAAAAGTAGTATGGGACCACAAACGCCCAAGAGGACTTGCCAGCCAGCCATTGACAGGAAGAGCACACCCACAGGTATTAAAAAGAAGCAGATGAAGAGATAAAAACCTGAAAACCATCTGTATGTGGCTGTTATGTTCCCCAACACCTTGGCCAAGTGGATGGGGAGCCTGGTGTAAGGTATTGGATAAAAAAGAATAATTCCAGAAACATTGAAAAAAAAGTGGCACAGGGCGATCTGAAAGTAAACACATTTTGAGAGGTTAGTTAGAGTTCCTAGAAAGACTGTGAACTGAATACAAAACTCATGATGTTACTCAAAAGCCATGATCTCCCTTCCCCCTCTCTCCTTTTTGCCTGGTAAGCAATGAACACATATTTAGTACTATAAAATTAATAGTAAGAATCTACTCTTGATGTTACAGAATAATATGTGGAAATTATGTAGACTTCTGTCAGTACTTTTCCTAAGTCATCAGCTATTACAAGCTAAAATCTATCTGGCTTGGCTTAAGCATCCTTTCTACCATTCTAGCAAAACTCTCACTGCTGTCAAGCAATCTGCAACAGGAGTATGGGAACTTAACATTAACACGATCAAATGCAGACTGGGAAGTTCTAAAATGTAGCTATTCATTGCAGTGAGGCTGGCTGAATACAGGGCTGATGAACCCAACATCATGGAATCATTCACCAGCCAAATATATATACCAGCCCAATCAGTATTAGCTTTGTGCACCCTTAACATTTTTAAATAAAATATGCAGTTAATAAATAAAGAACTGGTGCCTTACAGGCCTCTGATAAGTGGCCATTAATGAAGCAAAGATAGTGTGTATCTAGCCCAACCCAACAGAAAAAGATACAGGTAACCGAGCAAATCCTAAGATTAGGAGCTGATTTGGACATTTTTACATAATTTGTTTTATATTTTTTTCTACATGCAAAGTAGACTTTAATAAAAAGTTGGCTTGGGTAAAATAATAGTCCAGTGATTGTTGACCAAATCACTAATTTCCCTGCTTGTTATCTCATATACCCTCTGTGATTACCAAATTAAAGCAAATACTTAACTACATCATTTTGTTTTTTAAATTACCTTATAAAACAGCTATTTAACATGAGATTAACTGAACTGGATTTAGCCCTGTTTGAGATTACAGCAACTCTGTCTTATTTGGAGGTAATAACATGACTACTGTAATGATTTCCCACTTTATTATTACTAGTATTATTATTATTATTCAAATGCACTGGTACAGTTGAGAAGTCAATGGATGCGGACAAGCACCCAATGAGACATACTCTGACTAGATTTATCAACATTGCAACATACCCGACGCTTTTCATTTAGAATCACTTTGTTTGATGGATTTCACAACCTCCACTCAGGTGCCTAAGCTCCTTGTACAATGTATGAGAAAAAGGTAAGTACCTGAGAACGGGATTCACAGAGGCCAGAAAGACAACTGGGGGACCTCTTAAGGCAGCTGATAGGAAATTACTTCTACGTCTAGGACACAGGCCTAATTCCAAGATGCAGTTTACTTATCTCTGCCTGGCACACACAGACATAAACTCTCGTCTGGAGTTAGGTTCAAATGTCTTCTTCAACTCTCAAAACTCAGTGTTTTAGAAACTACACAACCAATTTAGATATTTAGAAATAGACTTAGAAACCTAACTTGAGACACCCATTTCAAAAAACTTTTTCTTATTTAATTAAATCTAACCAATCTTATGAATGTCTGAGATTTTGTTATATAACGAAATGTTGTGAAACATTCAGTGTGCTTTTTTGCTCTGACCTCAGCATTTGGAGGTCAAGAACCATACACTGGTATTATTCTGAAAGATTAGTGCACCAGCATTTTTAAAGCTAAATCCTCAAGTCCTTGCTCAGGCAAAATTCTCATTGACTCATTGACTCAGTAGCTAGGTTGTAATAAGAACGTTTTATGCTAACCTGTAATGAATACTGTAATGTACTTCCTGGACTCGCTAAAGCTGCAAGTATAGCTGTTGTAGTTGTACCAATGTTAGATCCTAAGGTAAGAGGATAAGCACGTTGAATGCTTATAACGCCAATACCTAAAAGAAAAGAAATAGCATTGAGTATTTTGGATTTTAAAAAATATAACGTGAGACTTTAAAGTCCAAAGGAAAGGAAAGCCCAAAGAACTTACCAACCAGTGGTGTAATAGCAGATGTAAAAACAGAACTACTTTGGACAATGAAGGTCATACCAGCTCCAACCACCATTGCCAGGTATCCAGCAAGCCATGTAAAAGGATATGGGAAATCTGAAAAGCAGAAAGGGGGCATGCTGTTTTTAGAATTAGAAAGTTTTTGTACTACATGGGAAACCACTGTGAAAATCTTACTATTATTTAGATTTTAAAGCATTTAGGGCAATGGCCTTTTTTTTTGTTGCGTGTTTATACAGTGCCTAGCACACTGATGTCCAGCTATAAAATTGGGGCTACTGCAATATGACTAATGAATAATACTAATAAAGAATAAAAGCATTTACACAATCTCTAGGTGCGTCTAGTATATAAGCTAAAATAATATGGCCCACATTTTCAAAAATAGCAGATGTCTCAATTTTGGCAACATAAAGTCTTTAAGGGGGCCGATTTTCAAAAACATCCAGAACCCATGCTATGAAAACAGGGTACAATAAAGTGTCTGAAATCAGACATCCTAAAATAACTCTCTCTCGAAAATAAAGGTCTAAAGAGGTTAGATCAGAAAAGGTAAGCGATGGGCATGTCTACATATGCTCATTTACTGTGCAGTACCCCAAATTACTGCCCAGTATGGGTGCACGTCTACGCATGCATAACCATACTGCACAGTAAATATGGTGACTTATGCCAACTTGAGCATAAATTTGATACCTGCATCATGCAGGTATCAAATTTATGACTGATTAGTTACTGCACAGTAATGCACATGTAGATGCCTTACTGCACTATGGTAACTTTAGTCCGAAGTCAGTCCACATACAGTGTTAATGCGCTTTAACACCTGCACATGTAGACGTTGGCCTATTCCTGCAGTTACTGTGCAGTAAATTTAAGCCAGTGTAAATGCGTAGACATGCCCACTGTGTTCCAGTGCAGCCAGCAGTTGTCACAGTCAGCTAAGAAATCAGAACTTAATTGACCAGTTGGGAAGACCTGCAACAACAAACTTGGGATATGACAGGTTCCCATCCCGATCTAAACTGGCAACTGACTGATTTCCTAGTTTATTTTCCTGAGCTACTAGATGTGCTTCACTCTAGAGGAAGTGACGTGAGCAGGGGCAGATTCAGGGGTGGGGGAGGAGGGGGTGAGCTTGTACCCCTCTCTGATTCCTGCCCCATCCAAAATTTAAAACCAACTGCGTGTGCGGCGACCAACATTTCCTCTAAGATGCGTGGCATGCACAGCCAGACAGGTGTGCTCATGCCATGCTGCAAGGCACACCTGAGCGGCCATGCACACCACACAGCTTAGAGGGAACGCTGGCGGTGGCAGCATTTCTACTCAGACAGTAGTGAGGGAGTCATTTGACTTCATGGCTCATTGTATTCTATCTGACTCCTTCTACGTCTTTGTTCCACAGGTATTAACAACCCTTTCTTCTTTTTAATGGCCTTGATGTTCCACAGATCAAACTATCCTTGGTTCTGCAATTCTGCTGTCTGTTAGCTGTTCTCCATAATGAAGTTTCTATTTCACAGCTGTGCAGATTGTTTTTAACTCATTCCAATCAAGTTATATTTATTTTTGCTTCAATCTTAAACTGAGTAATACAGCCCTAGCCTCCTAGCATATTAATAAACCCTCTAGTTTCTTTTTAACTGGAAAAAATATGTTTTGTTTTATATGTGACAATACATAGATCCCACCATTTTCTTCAATCTAGGAAGCAAAGGGGAAGGCATCACTAGGTGGCCTACTGAAAACTTCTGTGTACAAAGTGTCTTTATCGCTAAAAAACAGATGGCTTCTTAATGACACATGGAGGCTGACAGTGCACAGTCCAGGGAGAGGGTGCTTCTTTTATCTGCCATATGCCACTGAGGAGAGGATTAAAGGATGCAATAGGTAAGGCAAGGAAAGAAAATAACTAAAAAAAAAAAAATAAAAAAGTTGTCCCTATTTTCAGTTCTGTATAGCAGTAAGCAATTACCACCTCAGCTCTCAAGTGCTATTTGCTGACGATATGCACATTCACACGGACATGGCTACCAGATAATGATTATACTTCAATAAACAGAGTCTGGACTTTGGTCTCTATCGTCATTAATCTGCCACATTTCACAAGCAATGCGTTCACTCAGAGATTTTTAAGGAGAAATGATAAACAGTGATAAAATGAAACTTTCTTCTAGGATTTTCATTTAATAATGAATTATGCATACTATCACTTTGGATCTGCCTATGCAAATAGTGTCAATAAATGAGCTTACTGTCACAGTCAGGTTTGAAAAAAATCTTCAGAAATAGTGTATAATTACCAGTATTGATAGTCTTCTTGATGATACTGGCCATTCGTCCTTTAAGGACAGAATTCAGTAGCTTAACGATCATCACCAAACACCCACAGAGAGTTATCAAAGAAAATGCAAGGAGAATGAGACCAATACCAAGATCTGGAAGATCTGCATCCACAAAGATATGCTTGCCTACAAAATTAAAAAAATCAAAGTTAGACTGGTACTTTATTCACTAGGCCAAACTCTAGTTATGCTCTACACAAGCTTGAACAAATTGGACAAAGATGCACGTCGCTTTATATGATGACAGTCGCAGATATTCACCTTACTGACCCTATAGGAGGCACATTTCAGAAGGATGCATTGTTCTTGTGTGGTAGGGCTATTAAACCATACAACACACCCCTCTCAAGGGGAGAAAGATACAGAAAGAGGAGCACGTATAGTGGTGTAACTTCATGCACCTTGGTGCAGGGGGCAAGGGAATGACATGCAAAGGCACAAGCAAATCTTGGTGCACTCCAGCATGATTAATGAGTCACCCCTTCTGCACTAACATACAAATGGCACTTGTGAGCCCTGAGCAGCACACACAAGGGTTACCAAAATATCCAAGAAACTGCTACCATAAAGACCCCGAAGTGGAAGAGCAAAGACTGCCATGATATTGAAGATCTTTGTTACTGGTGCAACTACAGTAGCCAAACCTCATTTCCCCTCTGCCCTTTTACAATAGCCAGTTAAACATTCATTTTGTAGAGTGGGTATCTATCTTCCTACTTACATTTTGCAATATTGTCTACTTCAGTTATATTTTTGATGGTCCATGTTATGTTGCCTGAAGTCCAGCAAAGGTCAGGAGATGTGCAGTTTTCTGAGGGTGGGATTGTGACATTCTGCAATGTCTAAAGATTGCCATATAAAAGAGAGAGAGTTTAGTTAACCCCATTTCATATATTACCAGCTCATGTGCAATTCTTCTAGGTTTTCAAGAACTAAAAATAAAATGAATAAAATACAGGTGAAAAAGGGTTGAGTTCAGTCTATAGTTGAATGGCATCACAGTCACAAAGAGGGAGAAATAGTTTTCACTCAGGAAAAAGCTGATATTTTAATCAAGACAGTCAGTGTAAAAAAAATGAAGAACGGTGTGGAACTCTTGTCTCTTCCAACTAGTGGCATTTCCTTGAATCAAACAAGTTTCTATCTCTTCTGCAGGTCCTTAACTGCAGTTGATGCAGCCACATTGCCTACTAGATGGAGACTGGACTAGATTTCAGAAGACCAGGATTGCATTCCTGTCTCTGCCACTTGCCTACTGGTTGACCCGAGGCAAATCACATCACCTCTCCATGTCTCAGTTCCCTTATCTGCAAACAGGAGAGAGTGATACTGGCCTCTTCTGTAAATCACTTTGACATCTGATGAAAAGTGCCACTTGAGGGCTAGTTTATTCTTAGCGTTATTATTAATGGACTGAAGCCTGGACTACTCACCTGTCCACCAATTACCATCTTGCTTACAAGGAAGGCAACCTATGGGGAGGGAATTGATTCACAGCCTCCTGCTCTGTTGGCTGTAATTTCCCCAAATACATCAAATTAGCTGTCTCAGAGAAAAAAAGTCTAGCTTCTGCACTAAGAGATGTGAAGGAGGTTCTTTATTTAGGACGGTTGCTGCACGCAATTAGCTGAAGTGACTCTACAGCTCACAGATCAAGGGACACCAAGTTACAACACTCAGTATGTAACTGTTACTGCAAATTAAGAAATGCTGGAAAAGATTGCTGACTGAACTATACCAATGTGTTTCCTAGCCAAATGGACTGTGGAGGCCAGAAGGGTACCTCTGAGAAACATTTCAATTAAGTTTTCTTCAGGAAAGGGAGAGAACTGTGGGAGAACCAGGTTTTTTTCCTGATTCCCAGTGGTCTTTTTTGAAACAGGTAAAATGCGGATTTGGATTTGTCTTCTCACTAAATCTCCTAAATACTAAGCTGTATAGAGACAGAGACACCTTTCTGAATCAAAAAGGCTACAGAGTGATTTTTCTCTCTCCCCCTCTCTGTACTGAAGAAAACTTCTCTACAACCTATACCTCTGAAATATTTCAGTTTTTAAGAAAATTCACATTGTCAAAAATATTCTGACCAGTTTCTGTTCATAATGTAGCAGTGAACAAGATGACTACAAGTCAGCAGTGTGTCCTTGTTGCCAAGAAAGCTAACAGCATACTAGGCTGCATTAGTAGGAGCATTGCCAGCAAATCAAGGGAAGTAATTATTCCACTTTATTCAGCACTGGTGAGGCCACATCTGGAGTGTCCAGTTTGTGCCCCCCAACTATAGAAAGGATGTGGACAAATTGGAGAGAGCCCAGCAGAGAGCAACAAAAATGTTTCAGTGGCTGGGGCAAATGACTTCTGAGAAGAGGCTGAAGGAACTGCGCTTATTTAGTCTGCAAAAGAGAAGACTGAGAGAGGATTTGATAGTAGCCTTCAACTACCTGAAGGGGGTTCAAAAGAGGCTGGAGCTAGCCTGGTCTTAGCGGTGGCAGATGACAGAACAAGGAACAGTGGTCTCAAGTTGCAGCAAGGGAAGTTTAAGTTGGATATTAGGGAAAATTTTCTCACTAGGAGGGTGGGGAAGCACTGGAACAGGTTACCTAGAGAGGTTGTGGAAGCTCCATCCTTGGAGGATTTTAAGACCTGGCTAGACAAAGCCCTGGCTGAAACAATCTAGTTGGGGCTGGTCCCACTTCGAGCAGGGGGTTGGACTAGATGACCTCCTGAGATCCCTTCCAACCCTAATTTTCTATGATTCTACAGTATTGGTATATGTGAATGCCATACTTCTATGCTCAAAATAATAGCAGTCGTAAAGAAAACTCTTCTGCTATGGGTATATTTGTAATACTGTGAATATTTTCCTTCTATCTGGAGTGCTGTTTAAGTAGCAATAATATCTTTCCTTAGGAGAGAAAAGCCATTTTAACAAATACTTACCACACTGGTGTTAGTTAGGCACCAAATCTTCACCAGGCTTCTATTTTTCGCTGAGTCATCATTCATAGCAATTGCATTTATTACAGATTTATCAAGCTTAAATGTTAAAGAAAAAAAACAGAAAAATTATTCTAACCTGAAGCTTAAGTCTACAAAATTTAGGCCAAAAACCTTTTCACCTACACCCTTCAAGCAGTGCCACAGAAATCAATAAAACTGCTTATGCATGTAAGACAGCACAATTCTTCCTGCAGCCTACTCTCCTACCCAGCAGATAAGACAAGCAGGGACTTAACTCCTGGAAAAAATGCTTGGTTGAGCTATTATCAATAATGGGGATTATTATTCCACATATTTTGAATAATTATATCAGAAATAAAAATTTTCATCTATCAAAGATGTTTTATCATGAGGACAACAATACTATCAGACAGCCTAGTATCTTTAGAGCAGCTTAAATAACTGTAGCTGAATCAAGTGGCTTCATTAAAGTGAAAACCTACCTCAATGATAAGCTTTGTAAAAGGATCTGTGATAACTTTTAGTAGCTGAGGGGCATCTTCACCCGTCTCAAGATTAAAGGATTTAACTATAACATTAGTTAGATGATAAAGATAACCAGTAGCAACTTCTATAGGCAACAGCACAAACACTGCAAGCCAGTTAAAGAAATCATGGACTGTAGCTCCAGCAAAGGCCCTGCAAAAAGACAATTAAAAGCAAATTGTTTTTAATAGCACATTCATAGCATAAATAAAGTATGAAAATACACAAGTGCAAAGGGAGCCTGTAACAAGTCAAGAATTATGTCATTTTTAGAGCCACAGATTACCACTTGTGTTACAGTGTGCTCTTTAAGCAGTCTAACTGGCAGAGCTAACCAAGGGATTAAAAAATACAAACAAAACTAGAGAAAACAAAGGAAACTATCCTTGACAGGTGGGGAATACAACCTACCCTCGACTAGTTCAAATGAAAGGCCATTGCGCAGCCTCTGTTAGCATGTCCCATTGCCTAAGTATAGTTATGTAGGGCAGACTTTTATTTTCCTTTGTGCATTTAAGTGGCAGTTTTCTAGCCATCTACCTGAGCATTTTTGAGCCACTGCACTTTGCATTCAATAATCTCTGATAAAATAGATAGAAAGCACTGGGACTAAGGCTCGATGCTAGAATTCAGGACCTGTTCCTTTTCAAGCTGCATCCATCTCACTCAGTCACACACTCTAATTTGCTTTCATCCTCCTGGCCCCATGTATCCAGAATGCTGAGAAAAGGTTATCAAGCACTGGTTGGGTGGGAGTCTTATCTCAAGCCCCCCAGCTGGTACTGCCATGATGTGGTGTTGCTGCAGCAGCAGTGCAATGGTGTGGGGCTGCTGCTGTTGCCATGGCATGGACTCAAACCAGAAAGGTTTCCTCTCTAAGTTGGTACCTGGGGCTGGTGCACTAATTGCCTACCCCAAGTTATGCTACTGAATGAATCTCTTTCTTTTAGCTGCCCAGAGGGCCAGCTTCAAGAGTACTACCTGAGCAGGGACTGAATAATGCCTGCAGTGAGGATGTTAGAACACTGTATTGGAAAGTCAGACATGCAGGTTGAAACGCTCTTTGGGCAAAAAGGGCCTAGAAGCCAGGTCTTGTATTTCCTGGGCAAGTATCCTAAACACTCAGCTAGTAGGGGCCTCCTCCTCTTCCAGCATCTAACACCTATTAGTTAGTCAGGAGTTTCTGGACACGTGCTTTTTCAACTTGGATGCACACACACAACTATAATGGACATGTATACCCAGCTGCATATGTGCTCCACCAGTGTATAGCCTATTGTGCATGCTCAGTCTACACATATATTCTTTCACATCCACAATGCAGGGGTAAAAGAATTGCAACCTGTGCTTAAATGCCAAAAAATGCCACTTATGTGGCTAGCAAGCTGTGATTTAGACACACAACGGAAAACAGAATTCCACCCAAAGCTTTTTCTGGCATTCTGACGTCCATTGCCACCTTTTCTCTGCCCACTGATTAATGCAAAGTACTAGTCTCTGACCTCTTTATAGCTATGTTATGTACAATTTTCAAACATCACAGTATATTTCCCTTTCAAGCTTTGTTCCTTGTGTGTAATTGGCAAACCAATAAATAAAAGATGCAGAGGGAAAACAAACAGGGAATATAATCTGGCTAAATGTATTTCACACATTTGGCAGTGTCCCCATATACATTACTATAAATAACAAGAATAACAAGGCACCACAATCTCACACCCATTCCAGTTTTACTACTCTAGCAGTTACCACATCTCAGTACTAATGAGAGTTTAGTAGTTCATAAACTGTCAGTGCGTATACATGTAGCTGTTAGAATGTTTCACTTTTCTCTGTTTATCATATCTTGCTTATTGTTGTTTTGCTAGTCCTTGAAACAGAAAGTACACAACAAGTGGAAAACTTTTTATTTAATGTAACATTAACTTTCTGCACACATATTTTCTCTGTTATAAAGATATGGTAAAATATGGGTGGAAAAGTGGATATACTTTTAAAAAAAGGTTAATAAGTGCCATATTATGGGATTCTGTCAAAAAAAAGTTTGAATCTTCCAAACCCGTGTAGCTTTTTAGGGAACACAGAAAGCATTTAAGATATATTTTCAAGTTAACTTATAGTAAGCGTAGACTGCATTGTGCTCTGTAATGTCAGATAACTGAAGAATAAAGGCAACTTGGAACTTACTGTACCATCAAAGCTGACAGCTTTATGGAGCAGAAAGCTATGGAATTGCCATTTAATTATTTATGATGACTCAGCAAGATAGCACCTGTTCTTGCATCCCATTGAGATCAGTGGCAAATTCTCAGTGATTTAAGTAAGGAAGGATCAGATACTTTCTTTTACATGATTGTGAAGTAAACGTGACTTATTTTAATTATTTTATATCCAGCTACATAATTGGAACTGCACAGCACATCATTAAAGGAGCTTTAGAAATTTGCTTTCCATTTTCAAGATGTAGATTGTAATTTTGGACAACAGACTAGCTGAGAAGCTGCTATAGTAATAAGAGTCATAGGAAGAAACATAAGAAAACCTGTTACGAGTTAAAATATATGCTTATGGGGTAAAATTAAAGCAGAATACCTTCTAAATTCATTCCTTTCTCCAGCTTGCATAAGTGCCACAATTGTGTTTGTAATTGAGGTACCAATATTTGCCCCCATTATGATAGGAATAGCAGCTTGTACAGTCAACACTATAAAGTAAAAAAGGAACATTAGGTGAAAATCTAATACTTGACACACAGTCTACACAGAGGGCTAGTCTAGACATGAAATTAATGTGAAGCAATAAGCTCTGGTGCATATGGCATCAGAGTTTATTGCTCCTGAGCACCGTGTCTTCATGTGTGTCTAGGACTGCAGCACATTGAGTAGAATCAGAGCAGACCCAGCTGGCAGAGGGCTAGGGGGTCAGCATGCCAGGCCAGGGCTGCTCCAACCTGGCTCAACATACTGCGCAGGGGCTGGGTGAGGCGTGAGGGTGCCCCAGTTCAGGGCTGGCCAGCAGGCAGCCCTGCACTGAAGCACTCTCATGCCCCAGCCAGCCCTGTCAGTGTCTACACGTGCGTTGCTGCGCACTAAAGAATGCCACCGAAGGACAGTACTTGTATTTACAAATATTAACCTCCAGTGGAGTTAATTTATTTCCTGAGGCCTAATAGGGCCGCATGAGTAGACACTGAGACTTTTCTGTGGTCCTAATTAGGCAGCTGCACAGTGAACATCTTGTGTAGATGCACTCAGTATGAATCAAATTACCTTTCCATTGAAGTCACTGGGACTTTTGCCACTGACTTCAATGTGATCAAATTTGTCTAACAAACATAACTAGTTGTCACTATGATCCATATAAACATCTTTTTAGTCAAAGGATCTTGGGAATGTGCTGCTTTATTATTCTGAGAACCCACTTTGCATCTGAAGCATACTGGTCCTTGGTTTCTAGTACAAAATATTCAAGTACCTTACCCTTTTTTTTTTTAACTAAGCATTTTCCCACGTATTATATATACACTTCAGAATTTTGAAACTAAGAAACAAAAACATAGATTCTAGTAACTTTTTTGACAGGTAAAATCATGCAGTTGCCAAAGTTAGTACATTCAGCGCCAGTGTACTAAATAGGTTCCCTACAGCTGAATGGCATTTTTGTGCATTATAGTATGAAGAGACAAATAAATTATAGCTAGTTAAAAGGGAGGAGGGACTTGCCACATATCCACTGCCCCATGGTAATTTCTTTGTGTTTCTGCACTAGGTATGCCTTGTGGTAAGTGAAAGATGAACTAGACTAGCATTGCCCTGAATGAAAGAGGGCTACATTACCACAGTTTAGCTTTCACACTTAAGCTTCCAGTTACTGCAAAACAGCATGAAAACATAAAAAATTATTGCAGAGCAACTGAAACATAGTTACTTCCATGTCCCTCTCTTCTAAGCCATCATAATTTGTTTGTCTGCCCATACCCTCAAGGTCCATTTGTTATTGCTAACTTTTTCTAATTTAGTATCAGGAGAACTGCAGTGAAGTTTTCCCCTCATCCCTTTACTTATTCCCAAAGCTTCTTCTTTTACAACTTTTTAACTGCTAATATAAGAAGTATCATGATCTCTACTTCTTTTACTACTTTTTAACTGCTAATATAAGAAGTATCATGATCTCTACTACCATAGCGTGTGATGACTTACATGAAGAAGACACCATGCTGACTATAATAGATGAAGAGGTGCTAGAGCTTTGTACCATGACTGTCACCAAAACTCCAATCACTAGTCCAGCCACTGGATTTGACAGCACAGAATCATCTCGAAAAATGTCCCCAGCTGCTTTACCTATAAAAAAAAAAATCCTTCTAGTGAGAAAAGTGTCTTGCACAGTCAATAACAAGAGCATTTACAGAAAAACTATTCCACTTCTCAAAATGCAATGTATGCAACCCTACCTGTCAGTCTAAAGGTGAATTAAAGTGATGTAGCTCAGAGATCCAAGTTCAAATCCTGAACTTAGACTTATTCCTTCCAAATTATCAGGAAATACATCATATTTATCTCATTCTTTTATATGACAGAAAAACCAACAGTGAAAAGGCTTGGATATAAGTGTATCTAACCACTTTGTCAGAGGGAAGGACTTCCTGAGGCTCAGGAAAAAAATAGGATCACTAAGGAGAAGACAATTGTTTACTTCATGTAGGAGCCCTAAAGATGCTATTTTAGGCACAGACACGGGTGACAGGGCACTATCACAAGCAAATCTTTCTGCATCTTCCCCTAGTTAGGGTATGCCTCAATGGTATAATCTTACATAGGATATTCAGTAACTCAGGCATTATTTTGGTTGTGTAGTTTTATGCCTGGACTAGTAAATTCAACAAAACGGTATGAAAGATATCAACAAAATGCCATGGATTTAAAAAAGAAAACTAGTTTCAGTTTTAAATCCAAAATATTTTCATATCATTAATATTTTGGTTTGCTTCTTTAAGGAATAATATTTTAGTAATTGTAAATAGTTTGGGGTTATTTTATATTTTAAATTATACTGCTAAAAATCTTGAATGGAAATGGAAAAAATCACTAAACTCAAACAGGAGTCTACACAAATTTAAGTAAACCACAATTTGGTCCTTTTATATTATAATATTTTTCACCTTGAAAGGAGTTAGGGTCCTTTAATGTTGAATCTTTTAAATAAGCACCTGTTTTTAAACTTTATGTTACAATGATGTTCACATAGTAAAGCTAAATGCACAGGTGTATTTGTGTTAGTAGGACAACAAGGACTTCCAATGGCAATAATAGTTTGGAATTCTGGAAACAAAGACTTCTTGCAAACAAAAGGAGATCAACTTTTAGTTACTGAAGACAACTTCTACACATGTATGTTCATACCTGTGTATCTAACGTGAGTTCTTACAGTTCAATATTCTTAGCATGGTTATTTCATTTTGAATTGTATTAGAGTCAACAACCCAGTCATCCATAGATAAACCTGGTACTTTAAAAGTATTTACATACCTCCTACCAATTGGAAGCCAGAGCTTAGAACATCCAAGGAGCACACAAATAAATAGAGTAATCCAAGCATGAGAACAAGCTTTCCTAACCCTTGGAGTACAAAGAGTAGTTTTCCTTTCATATCCCGATCTGCAAAACATAAGGCAAGTTTTCATGTATAAAATATTTACGCCTTTGGCACTCCTTTTTGAACAGTTTAGCACTTCTAGAAAATCTCACGTTTTCAATCTAGAGTCAAGAACGATATTGAGAGCTCAGTGAATGATAAATCCAAAGGAATGCTTATGTTACTAAAATTTTAACCATAGCATCATTTTAGTTCAAATATTTTGATGCATATAAAAACTCCAGAAAGTTTGAACTGCATCCTTTTTAATGTTTACAATTAGATTTTTATATTACTGTAAAAGGTGGAGCTATGCTAATTAAAATTGCCCAGAGCATCATGTGTATCAGTGTCCCCACACTGAAAAATAGTGGCAGGGCATTTTGAACTAAAGCTTGTTCAATGAGCTTTAGTTTGATGTACCCTGCTGCCATTTTCTAGCTCAGGGCCACTACTACACATGATGCTGCACTTGGGCAGTAGTAACCAGCAGCACACTTATAAGATGGGAAACTCCCTTCTTGAGAGCACGGAGGCAGAAAGGGATCTCGCAGTCATTACTGACTCCAAGATGAACATGGGCTGACAAAGCGAGGTCACGGTTGGCAGGGCTAACCAGACCTTGTCGTGCATCCACAGGTGCATCTCAAGCAGGGCCAAGGAGGTGATCCTCCCCCTCTATGCAACACTGGTCAGGCCACAGCTGAAGTACTGTGTCCAGTTCTGTGCGCCCCACTTCAGGAGGGATGTGGACAACATGGAGAGGGTCCAGAGGAGGGCCACCCGCGTGATCCGGGGACAACAGGGCAGACCCTACAGTGAGAGACTGCGGGACCTGAACCTGTTCAGCCTTCACAAGAGAAGGCTGAGGGGGGACCTGGTGACCATCTATAAACATACTAGCAGGGACCAGAAGGGTTTGGGAGAGACCTTGTTTCCCCTAGTGCCCCCCGGGGTAACAAGGAATAACGGCCACAAGTTGCTGGAGAGTAGGTTTAGATTAGACATCCATAAGAACTACTTCACAGTTAGGGTGGCTAGGATCTGGAACCAACTTTCTAGGGAAGTGGTGCAGGGTCCTACCCTGGGGGTCTTTAAGAAGAGGTTTGATGCCTACCTAGCTGGAGTCATTTGAGCCCAGTTTTTTCTCCTGCCCAGGCAGGGGGTTGGACTTGAAGATCTACAAGGTCTCTTCTGACCCTACTTCTATGATTCTATGCTGGAATCTGCTCTGATGGGCTCCCTGCATGTGTATAGGAGCCCTGACTACTCAAGTTAAATCATAAAACCCGTTCTCCAAAAATAATATTACATAATAAGATTAAGATAAAACAGCAGCAGATTAAAAAAAATAAAGAAAGGTAAATGTTATACATTGACAGCTTATTACCTGACCACTTGATCCCAGTGTCCGGAAGGTCTGGCACTGTCCAAGGGTCATCATCTTCTTCTGTCCCTGTCTGATTTATCAAGGCAATTGTAGAATATCCAGGCTGAATATTCCCTGTCGAAACCACATTGCCTATAGAAATCAAACACAAAACAAATCAATTTAAGTACTTGCTGCCTTAACCCAAGAGCACAAATATAAGATCTTCATGTAAATCATGAAAATATATTTACCTCCATCTTTTGCAGTCACAGGCTGTGTTTGCTTGGAGGATTCATCAATGCAGTTATTGGCTTCAGGCTTGTCCACTTCAGGCCAAGGAGCCATGGTCTGTTACTAAAGAAATATACTGATCAAAATTACGGTGCTGTGAAAACATTCGTTAACATTTGTCAATACGATGTAAAGAAAGGTTTACCTAAGAACAACACAAAGAAAACAATCTATCTTCCAGCACAGATCTTCCTTAATTTTTATGAATTACTGTAGTTATTAATTAACTTAGAGTTACTTGTGTTGCTTAAGTCAGTACAAAAAATTTCATTTCCTCTCCCTAGGTGTAATTATGCTAAGTTTTGGCTGCTACCAAAAGCAAAGATTTTTATTCAATCTAAAATTTAAGTCTTCAGCTAGCCTTCCTTCAGCCAGTCAGTCAGTCATTCTCCTATAGGAAACAAATTGCTACTTTATTTTTTGTCATTCTTTCATTCTTAACTGTATGGGTCTAATTCTTAAATGGTAATACAGTTATTAGATCTGAAAAGGAAGTGTCTCATTTTTTATTACTGGCTGAACTAAAAGGAATTGAAGCCTGACCAATCCATTTCCACTAACCTGTCTAGGGATGCCCATTTTATTTCTAGCACTAACAAAAATGTCTCAGCTCTGCCACCTAGACACGTTGCTGTACTGTTGCACCAGTTAAAAGAAGATGTCTTCTAAATCGATGGACTGTTGATGTGTGGTTCAGCTAGTCTCAGTTATGGGTGGTGAACCCGGTTTGGTCTGATCTATACACACAGTTTAACTATTTTAAAATGGCTCAACAGCACCTGCTTTTAAACAGCAGTTAACTTATTTCATGTAGTAGATAGGGTTTGTGTTACACAGCTCTGGCCAGAGGCAGATCCAGGATTCCCCAAAGGGGGGATCCAGGAGCAGCAATCCCCAGTGCAAGGGTAGCTGCACCCCTACCGCCGAGCCTCTTCTGCCTCCACCAATGTGGGCAGACTGCCCTCAAGAGCCTCCAGGGACTTTATGAAGTCCCTAAAGCAAGTGAAAACCCCTCCTTTCCTTCCCTTTCCCTCCCCACTTCCCCAGCTGCCGCTGTTGCTTTCCCCACTGTGCCAAGGGCTGGGAGAGCACCAGAGCTGCTCCTGCCCATCCCAGCTGGGCTGTACCAGGACAGGGCTCATCTGGGGATGGGGACAGTACCAACAGCAGGTCAGAAGAGTATTCCTCCCTTCCCTGCCCCATCCCCTAAAGCAAGCCTGGGAAAGAGGATCTCCCCACTCACCCACACTGCTGCTTTCCCCATCCCCAGCTGAACCCAGTCCACATGCAGCCTGGTTGGGGTGGACAGCAACAGCTCTGGTGCTTCTCCCACCCCTAGGACAGCAGGGAAAGCAACAGCAGCAGGCGTGGGAGGGGGAAAGATGAGGGAAGGGGAGTTGTCACTTCCTTAAAGGATTTTAAGTTACTTATTGCATTGACCTGCTCTGGATAGGTAAATAACACAGGGCATGTCTACATGAGATGTTTACTGTTGCCTAACTGGCCTCACAGTAAAATGTCACTGTCTACACGTGCAGTACTGTTAGGATGGAGTAAACTAATTAACTCCACCACAGGATAGTACTGCCAGACACAAATACTTACTTACAGTGGAGTTATTTACTCCACTGCAACACACATCTAGACACTGACGGGACTGGCTGGGGCATGGTGGTACTTCAGTGCGGTGGCTTCCTGCCAGCCAGCCCTGCACTGAAGCTCCCTTGTGCCCCAACCAGACCCGCCGCAGCATGTTGAGCCAGGTCAGAGCAGCCCCAACTAGCAGGCTGACCCCCAGGATCCTCTGCCAGCCAGGGCTGCTCCAACCTGGCTTAACATGCTGCAGTCCTGGGCACACATGTAAATGCAGTGCCCAGGAGGAATAAACTCTGGTATGAACTGCACTGGACTGTATTTGGCCACATTAATTGCATGTGTGGGTGTGTCTACAATGTTCAAATGTCAGGAGGACTTGCACTTCTGTCTACAGTAATACTTTGAGAGTTGATGTCACAGGAAAAGAGAAAATAGTGGTAACAACAATGGGAAAAATTCTGGTACAAAGATCCTTTACCCCCTTAGGCTGCATCTTTACTAGCCTTTCTCAGGAAATACCTTATATTTGTACTATCACTGTTGCAGGTCTACCCTAGGTAGCACTATTGGGAGTCCCAATTTAGATTAGTATAGGCATTTTTATCTATTGTACCTTACTGTAAACAAGTTTGTATGATAGGGGGATAAAAGCACTAGTGACAGGTCTACCCTGCTGATTCTTCACAGGCCAGCACCAGTTGGCATCAATAGTAGATCAACAGTGGGAGAACTTGGCTAAAATGTTCACCACCAGCAGGATCCCTATGTCAGTTAAGATAAGGCCCCAATAAGCTAGTATGAAGATTGCCATTGTGCTATAAACAAGATTCAAGTATGAACAGCATCCACTGAAAGAAGAGTACTTAATCCCACATCTAATTGGTTAATACCTAAGTCTGATATTGGAAAAGGGTTGCCCCTTAGGTGGCCTCCATTAGTCACCAATTATGCTCCTATTGTGTACCCCATGGTTGAGGGAGAATGTCAGATTGCATGATCACTCAAAGCCTACTGTAATAGTCAATAGTACAGTTTTGTGGCATTTTAATAAGAAAAACATTCCCCTTCCACACCTATTGAGAGAATTCTGCTAGGAACAAGGAAGCTCTTACACAACTATTATGTGCAGGATTTCATCCGTAAAGTGGATATGGTACATGGATCTCTAAACAGCTAAGAATATCACTTGCTGGTTTCAACAGTGTTTTTTCCATTTGCTCAGAGCAACTCTCATGTTGTCATTCACGTCCAAACAACCTCAAGGCCCCGCCCATGTCAGAAGAACTCAGTCTTGTAAAACAAGTTGCCCTTGCACACATTCAGCATTAAAAGAGTTTTGAATGATATAAGTGCTTAGTAATAGTCTTCTTAAAATCAACTGCAACCATAAGCAAGCATCTGAAATTCAGGATTGGGATGGGTTTAACACACCACATAATACATTTACAGCTCTTTTCCTACATCCATATTCAAGATGGAACTCAAGGGCTTAACCTCCCCTATTACAGAAGCAGCCTGAAAACTGAACTGGTGTGATAAATACGGATTAGAAAACTCCATCTAATGAAAAGTGTTTTTTCCCCCTAAACTAAATCTTCCGAACTGAAGCATTTGGATAGAAAATAGTTTCATGAGATTTTTATTAATGCTATGGTGTCTAGACACCCACAGGTAGGTCATATGTTTTTATTACTATTATTATTTTAGAATATTAATTTAGCTTGGCAATACAGAGTACCTTTGGAGGCGGGGCAAAGGAGAGGTGCTATATAGATATACAAAATAAGATTAATACATATAAAAATAATCAATTTCAGGCCTGATCAAACTTTGTGTTGGCAAGTACAGCTTGAATACCATAGTCCCTACAACTAACTACTTTCAGCATCTGTGCTTCCCAGGAAAATATTACTCTGGCAGCCAAAGCAGATTGGCTAATGTTATCAAGGATCTTTGACAATGGAAACGTGGATTTCTTGAAGCGACTCTGCAAGATGACAACTTAACCCTATGAAGTGTGTGGGAAGCGTAACTTTCAGCCACAAGTCAGACTGATTATTAGAATTTTAACCCACAGCTTCTTGCTATTGATGCTATTGATATGTCTATCCCCAGCATGTAACAGGTATTATCACAAAAGCACTCCTTTCAAAGACAACTATTTTCCCCAAAAGAAAGCATTAATATTTGAAGGAGAAAATTCATGAAAGAAAACCCTAAGCACTGAAAAGCAGGATCGTAACCATATACTCTACTCCCTTGCACATGAGCATAAGAATAAGTAGTATTTTAGATGCTCTGTATGCTGATATACGAAGTGCAAGATAGTGGAGAATCAATATCATAATCCTCAGTAACAATTTACTTTAGAACACATAACTCATGATTGTCAATGCTACTTTAGGTGGCTGTCACCTCATTGCTACATCGATGCAAGATCTGAAATGGAAGCACCCCCCCCACACACACACACACCTTTTCTCTTTTTCTAAGTGGTAGGTCAAAATATTCCATGCATTCTATATGAAATTAGCCTTTCAAAGGTCTGAAAACTAATGCCCACACAAACTGTAATCCAGTCTGTCTCAATGAATGATGCAATAAATCCTCACATGCCATAGTGTGTGCTCCTTTGGTTGCAACTCTTGCCCTTCTTCTCCTTTATTATTATGTATTATTTGCTTCCAATGGTGCTCACTATTTTGGGTGTCTTTAATTATAAAAGATGCCAAATCCCTACTCCAGTGCCCATAGAGAATTAAAGCGGAATTGGGACTATTACATTCCTGAGTGACTCATGAAATTACTACTTTTTTTCTGTTTTACAGACCTAAACCTTCAATAATTCTCTATTTTACCTTAAAATAGTCAAAAGTCACTTATTTTCCTGGGCTTCACACAAGGGATATAAACTACCAACTGCATGTGTGTACTCAGTATTGTTTTTATCTTTCCATCCATGACAGCTCAGTGAAAGGACAAGTTGTACTTGAAACAAGTAATGTGAAGCAATAGTATTTAGAAAATCAAAATTACATGGAAACTGCAAGGTAGAACTGAGAAGAAATGGGATTTCTATGTGAACCATATACCAGTACTTCAAATACAACCATTAATAAACCCAGTGAATAGCTAGACTATCATGCATGTAAATTTTTTTCCAGGCCCATCGAACAGTTTCCAAAGCAAGATATCTATTTCAAACAGGCTACTGTCTTGCTTCTTTTACTTCTCTAAAATGCAGTGCATTATTGCTGTTGTCCATGTTGTAGATGTTTATTTCTGAAAGTTTTTGGGTTTGGGGGGTTTTTTGTTAGGTTTTTTTTTGCAGTGGATCTGATATTCGGCTGTATTTGCATTCATACTATTTCAACAAGTATACTTTAATGAATAGGTATGTCTCAGGACTTCTCCACATGTATGTTGAAGATGCATGCAATATGTGTAACTTCAAAACACATAACCAGAGATAAAACTCACATCTTATAGACACGAGTGACCAGGTTCTTAGTCAGCATAAACTAGAGTAGCACCACTGAAGTTAACTAACCAGTTTACACAAGATGAGGACGTGGATCCATAGCATTACCGCCCTATTGCTTTAAATGTGAGAGAACAGGTAATAATTATAATACGCAAGCAATGATTCAACTGTGCTAAGGGCAAGTTTCTTCTTTGCTTCAGCTAGCATCACTCCAATAGGACTATTTGCATCAATCAAGTTACCAAGTTTAACCAGGATGTAAGGTTTTAAATCAAACATCTCTGCTGTAGAAGGGAAAGTGCAGGGGACAAATGCTAAATGCAGTTGCTAATATATAAATATTTTATTTATATGGGAGTCCTTAGACCTCTGGTTGTCTCGCAGAACTGAATCTAAACCACGAAAAAGCAAAACCAAACCAAGAACAGCATACACTAGTAAATAAATGAATGTCTAAGCCAGTGCAGAAATAAAGCATATACTTCACAATATCCACTTGTTGCCAATATCTATCCATTCACAGCCAGTACTCTAGCTAACAGAACCGTATCAGCTATGATTTCAGTGAATAATCTGGAATGTATTTGAATGTAACAAACGGTATGATTAAAAAGATCTTCACCACAAGAAAACAATATAATCAAAACAGATACCTGCCCCCATACCTAGGCTGAGGGACTTGGTAAAGAATCTCAAGAAAAGAAACAGAACAGCATTGAAAAGTTTTATTAACTTAATGAAAGCCACTAATGAAAACTCCAATATCAGTCAAATTTCTGTCTTCTGTCACATTAATTCAGCCAATTCTATTAGACTAATGTATTCCTCTTTCCTCAGTGCATTAAACTGAATTAACATTAAAAACATTTGGTTTTGGATAGCCTGTTAGTGTAATAATGTTTTACATAGCCATTTCATACAATTTTATGTAGTAACATATGACTGCTGATGCTTCACTGATTGCAGCTTAGGCATTTTTCAGCATCCGATCCTACTGATTATTTCTAATTAAACTTTCTGTTTTCTAAACAAAGTAAAACACTAAATACTTTTTCTGATACTGCAGGCAATTTTTGTACTTTTGATTCTTTACCACTGCTAACATATCTGTTGGCTCTACTTCTGAATTCTATGTGAAAAAGTCTATCCTCCTTGCAGAAGATAGTTACAGTAGCATGTATTTATAATCCATTTTAATTTAGGTATTTTAAAAAAATTAAGGGAATACAACTAAAAAGATACTCTCCAAAATATTTAAAACTTTGACTAGACTTTGTAGTACAATTCCAATTCCACTTCTTTATCTCTCTGCTGCTAGTTCATGTGACCTGCAAAACAGTCTGAGACTTACATACAAATTACCTTAAAGTTTTTAAAAAAGGAAAGTTTGCCTGAGTTGCTTTTACTTACCGCTTCTTTCTTCCCCAACAACAGAGAGAACAGATCAGCCAGGTATCCACTGAAACCTGCAATTTATAGAGGGAGAGAGGAAGGTGTTGAGCAAAGTCTGCTGTCACCAGTGCACACTCACATTCCTATCTTACACTCTAGAGGCACTGCCTACCTGCAGCTTAATGATCTCAATCAGCTCTTTTCAGCAGAAGTGGAAAGCAACCAACAGCAATAAAACCTCAAATTGTTTCACACTTATCATATTCTAGGAAATGTCCCATCAGCATTAAAGAGTTGCTAATATGTTCATCTGAGTAATGTGGAATTATTTGTTCCACTCTGATAAGCTGCTGGCCACGTTAGTCGTCTTTCTAATAAATGTCTTCCAAAAACATCTTCTTATACCAAAAATTGATCAATAGAGTTCTGACAGGGATATGGTGCTGTTATCTGTCCGTTCGTCTATCCTACTGTCTATTTGTCTGCCTCAGAAGAGAAGTGACAGAGAATCAGATAAAAAAAATGGTCTAATTAGGAAACCTGTAAGAACCCCTTTCAGAACAAAGGATGAAGTTTTCATTCTTATCAGTGCCCAGTGTTTACAATTAAAAAGAAGCTACAGAGATCATTAGCATTTTGGCCATTGCTACCCTGGCTCTCAAATAAAAGAGATTTAAAGATATAAGAGTGCTCCTGGTAATTTTATCCTGAAGGCTAGCAAGTAGTACAACAGGTACGAATAAGCTCAGTATGATATTAAAGATTCATGACCTATACAAACAAATGACAAGTACGAAAGTGAGCCACTACCACTGCTGACTACTATACAGGGGTAGGTACACAGGGAGTCTGGGGTACTGACCAAGCCACGAACATTGCAGTGTTATTCTCTTTGAATTTTTGCTGTCCAGACCCATTTGCTCTCAGGTCCATCTGGAAAATGACTCCATATAGAGGGATCTTAACTAAAAGCATCACCTTCTCTGTGCATTGTGGCATGTCTTTGCTCATGTTTTCCTTACTAAAATAAGGCTGTTGCTTTTTCGTTCCTGCTAGCCCTGGCAGCATGGCAAAGATGCAAGCAGATCTCATTCTTTTTGTACCACATCAACAGAACCATTTACTAAGTTCTTATTTGCTAACCCTTGGGGCAGCCTGGCCAGGGAGGCTCTGGGTTGACACCAGTAGCACTGAGTATTACTTGGAAGAATATGGTCTCAAAGAGGAGTTAGTTTTGGGAGAGGGAGCAAGCCTGCAACCACCCACTCTTCCCTTCTCTCCATGCCTTCCCCAGCTGGGGTGATCCCAGTCACAGCAAGGCATGGGGAGCCGGGGCTGCTCCAGTCTCCTCTTGGACTGGAGAGGCAAGGCCCTCCACCCATTCTGGGGTGTAGAAGAGGCACTTCAGGGGCTGCTCCAGTCTCCTCCCAGAAGGGTCCAAGAAAGGAACGGAGCAGCAAGGCAAACCCTAGGACCCAATCTGAGGAGCGGGCAGAGGGGCAAGGAGCAGCTGCTCCCCAACTCTTCCCAGCAACAGGAGCTGAGTGGGGGAGCAACAGGCAAACCTCTGACCTGCTCCCCAGACTGGAGCCCCTGGCATGAGGAATAGGGGGAGGGGGGGCTTTGCCCCACTGCTCTATTCCCCCCCAGAACAGGCCATTCTGGGCGGGGAGCATACTGGCTTTCATTCTATCAGGAGAGTTTCTTCCTCAAAAATTTTCTCCCAGTGGGGGCATGTTTCCCCCAGGGAGAAACTGAAGGAAAGTTTGTTCTCCCAGTAGAAACATAATGTTTGCACATGGCTACAAGGGCATAACCAAAAGTCCAATGGCTCTTACTAAGGAAGATTATGAACAAATTGAAAAAAAAATCCTCAGCTTGGCTCTTGCTTCCCAGATGAAGAGGAACCTACTGAATTCATGGTGGAAGTGGGCCATGCAGCAGCTCCTTTAATCTTCCTGGTTCCCCCATATCTCCCCCTCCACGCCCCCCACATTGCTGATTGGCTGAGGGGCCACAGTGGCCTTGCTGCTTGTTGCTGATTGGCCGGGAGGCAAAAATGGCACCATATTTAATACTGTGTTTTTTGCCTCTCTGCCGATCAAGAGCAAGTGGCGGGGTCCCTTCACCCATCAGCAGGGCGGCACATGGGGGAACATGCAAGATTAAAGGATTGCTATGCAGCCCACTTCCACCATGAATTTCGTAGGTTCTTACAGATGAAATTTTCAGAGATGGCCTTTAACAAAAATCTTATTAAGAAAATATGAGAATTATGAGAATTTCAGAATTGGGAATAAATGAGAAAAATACATTGGAAATCCACCAGGCCATTTTTACAGCATCACTTGTTATTGTAAGAAAGCATTTTTATGATATAAAAAACGGTATAGAAAAAAAGGAAACTGTTGTAATAGATATCCTACAATGAAAATAAATGGGTTACACTTGGAAGCATATATGGCTTGCTGTTCTCTTGCTTGCTATTCACAAAACCCAGTCTGGGCAGTTGTTAGACATGTTTCAAACACACCATCATTCTTCAAACAGGTATGTGAAGACTCCCTAAATAGTTGATTTCTATTCAAGATGCTTTATTCTGATTGCTAGACATAGAACAGTGCTATAATAGGCCTAGTGGCCATATAGGAAGGGAACTCTATTGCATCAATATTATACTTTTCTAGGAAAAATACCTTTAGGAAGGGTTAGTTTGTCACTGGCAGAAAGGCAGTGGTTTCAGGAGGGCCACCTGCCATTCTAGTAAATGTATTATGAAACCTGTTTGAGGGCCCATGAGTAATACCCAAAGACAGGAAGGGCTGCAACTCACGTTTCCTCTCAGTAGCTAGGGATCAAGGTTGCTGTTAGTCATATGAGCAACCTTGCACTATCTTCCAGCAGAAGAGAACAGGCTGGGAATTTTCCCCAGGGCAGCTAGGCTACAGTCCAAGGTCCTAGCAATGACTGATAAGAAATAGGGATGGGGTATAAAGAACGGGAAGACACCTGGAAGGAGATGTTACTGTTCTTAATTTTTTATCACCTGCTGCTCACTTTGAGACAGACACCTTTGAGGAGCAAATGACCTAATATCAAAGGAGCAGGAAAAAAAAGTCCCTAGCTAGGGAACATTTAATAAACCAATCAAACTCCCTTTATAGGCATGGCTTCCTACAAGAGCCCTACTGAGACAGATACTATCTGAAATACCTTGGTACTGTATTTGGCAGGAAAATCAGCCTCTGCTATCTCACCTTTTTAACAAAAATTCAATGCAGATATAAATTGAGAACTGTGATCTCTTTCAAAACACCATAACTGTTATATGTTATAGGAAGCTACTGTGTATATAAGAAATGTGTCCAACATACAAACATACCACAACAAGCTCAACCTCTCCACCATGATGCCCCCAAACAAAATTGAAATGTAAATGTCTAACGCTGAGAGGTCACAAATGCAAATCCATGGGGCATGTTCCAATGAATGCATACATGCTGCTGCTATTTGTCCCCAGCAACGCCCCTGCGTGCAGATTCCACCACATGGAAAATTGATCCAGGTGGGGTAGGGGACGCTGGGGCCACCTGTGCTAGCACCAGCAGCCTCACCTGAGGTCCTGGGGGCCTCTTGGGGCAGCAGCAGCAAGGGGCCAGCCACTCAGCACCTGGTCAGCAGCCAGAGCATGACTCTGGCCAGCCATGCTCTGTTTCTGGCAGTGTACGCTGCTGCTGCATTCACTACGCTGCTTTTTTTAGCAGCAGGTTACTTTTTTTACATCAGGATCTACCAGTGTCAAACAAAACTGCTGCACTGAAAATCAGTAGCACAGTGAACAGGTGCACATGTGCCATGTGTGGTCTGTGATGCCTCAAAAGGGGTTTGAGGTGCTGCAAATGCATGTGCACATTTCTTGGGACAAACCCCATAAGTCTTCATGGAACAATATTCATCTCTGAGGATAAATCATTAGGGAGAAAAACATAGCTCATATTAAGTTAAAATTCAGTAAAACAACACTAAAACTATCTCCTGCCATAACTATGAACCTAAATTAATCTTAACCCTAAGAAATATTTAATGCATATCCTGTATGTACTAAAAATATCATTAAAAAACACATGGCATTTACTTGACAATCTTAATATATAAGGTCACAGTGGTAGTATTAATAGACACGATCCTAACAAACGTGGCATTCCTCATCAACACATTTAGCTCAAAAAAGAGAGAAAATCACCTCTCTTACAATATATCACTTAACTGTTAATGGCCTAATCAGAAAAAATACATTAACTATATGAAGGAAGGCAGAAAGCAGAACAGGTGGCACCTTATAGACTAACTCATTCAGAAAGTCATGAGCTTTCATAGGGTACAACCTACTTCATCAGATGCATTCAGGGACTCTGGAACCTACAGTATCCATTGAAACTTATCCTGGAAAAATCTGGCTGCTGATCTATGTTTGGAAATTGAATAAATATAGTTAAATTGTTGTATCTTGATGTATCCTTTCAGGTATCTACAAACACACTTAAATGTTGGCTATAAGCATAGGCAGATCCAGCATTTTGTAAAGCGGGTGGGGGCTGGGGAAGGAGCAGCAACTGGAACTGCAGGGGTAGCTGCATCACCTACTTTCAGGCTATACCCCTTCCACTGGGGTGGGCAGACCACCATGGGAACAGCAGCCAGGGACATTTTGGCTGCCTGTACATGTGCTTGGAGGTGGTGGGGGGCATCTTAATTAAAGTGGTTACCAGACAGCTGCTCTAACTAAACCAGCTCGCCGTCATGTGTATGAAGCCCCCCTGTGTTTTAAAATGGCCACAGGGGTGCTTTAACTAACGCTCATTTGACACAGTTTAGTTAAAGCTCCCCTGTGGACATTTTGAAATGCAGGGGGCTTCATACACATGAAGGCAAAGTGACACCGGAGCTTTCTAATTAGAAAGTGAACGAGCACATCTATAGGCAGCTCTTAAGTTCCCAAATAGGGTAAGAATCCTGACTCCCTGCCCTGCCTCTCCATGCTCAGTAGCACATCCCTTCTCTCATTGCCCTTCTTCTCTTCCCTGCACTGCTACTGTCCCTGGCTGACTCAAGG